TAGAGGAATTCACTGTGTCAGTCAATACTAGAGGAATTCACTGTGTCAGTCAATATTAGAGGAATTCACTGTGTCAGTCAATACTGGAGGAATTCACTGTGTCAGTCAATACTAGAGAATTTTTTAGTGTCAGTCAATACTAGAGGAATTCACTGTGTCAGTCAATATTAGAGGAATTCACTGTGTCAGTCAATACTAGAGGAATCTATAGTGCTGGTCAATACTACAGGAATTAACAGTGTCAGTCAATACTAGAAGAATCTATAGTGATGGTCAATACTAGAGAATTTTTTAGTGTTGGTCAATATTAGAGGAATTCACTGTGTCAGTCAATACTGGAGGAATTCACTGTGTCAGTCAATACTAGAGGAATTCACTGTGTCAGTCAATGATAGAGGAATTCACTGTGTCAGTCAATATTAGAGGAATTCACTGTGTCAGTCAATACTAGAGGAATTCACTGTGTCAGTCAATACTAGAGGAATTCACTGTGTCAGTCAATACTAGAGGAATTCACTGTGTCAGTCAATACTAGAGGAATTCACTGTGTCAGTCAATACTAGAGGAATTCACTGTGTCAGTCAATACTAGAGGAATTCACTGTGTCAGTCAATACTAGAGGAATTCACTGTGTCAGTCAATACTAGAGGAATTCACTGTGTCAGTCAATACTAGAGGAATTCACTGTGTCAGTCAATACTAGAGGAATTCACTGTGTCAGTCAATACTAGAGGAATTCACTGTGTCAGTCAATACTAGAGGAATTCACTGTGTCAGTCAATACTAGAGGAATTTATTTATAGTGTTTGTCAATACTGGAGGAAGTTACAGTGTCTATCAATAGTAGAGACATTTTCTGTGTAAATCAATACTAGAGGAATTTACAGTGTCTTTTTTTAATACAGTACTACAAGCATTTACAGGGTCAATTAATTATTGAGGAATGTACAAGGTCAATCAACACTAGAGGCAACAATTTCTGTCAACACTACAGGCAGTTAGTATCAATGAATACTAGAAACACTTACAGTCTATTTACTATGCCAGGTAGGTACCAAAAAGGTGTATAAGTCACAGGAATATATATGGATTTTTTCAAGGAGTCGTTGATTGACATACATGCTGTGTACAAGGTATTCCACACTTTAACTGAACCACTTAAATATTTTATATAAAGACAAGCCTTATACTGACAAGTGTATAATACACCTAACAATAACTTCAACAATGATAAAATCTACCTCTCATAAGATGCTTACACATATAACATTATATATAAGATATATTTTCTAAATTAGAGTAAATCTTCATCGCCTGGAAAATTAAAGACTAGATAATATCTCTTTGTTTGTATATAGTTAACATGTTGTCTGTTTGGTTAGTAGATGCTGAATGTCATGTCAGCTTTGTGTCATGTGAATATAATTTGCTTTTGATGGCAGTGCTGCATATGTAGCTTAAACACCTGGGCAAGAGGTTGAACATGTAGTAAGCCTATTACTCTCTCAATCCAAAACTACTGCAGCCAATACTACACTTTTCATCTAGGGTGAAAACCACCTAGTGTAGTATATTGTATGTTACATGATACCAAAGCCTGCGAATGGCAAAGCTTTATCATGTAGTTTACAATTCTCTTTCCTTAAATGGACTTTTTTAAACATACAGTAAATTGTAATTAAGCAATAGAATCTCGTATTTTGAAGTGCATGTAGTTCTATATACGTTTCTTCTCTCCTTTTGTCTATAGGACTAGTGCTTATAGTCTTGTCAACAGTGAATGTATTGTGTAGTAACTTTTGATTAAAACTTCAAATTCAGTTTTGAGGGTGTCGTTTGACCTATTTACAAAACTAGTACACAGTATATTGATACTTAAAGCATATCATTCTTTTTCAAGTTTTAATCACAAATTTCTATCCAATTTTGAATGCATTAGAATCTGAAACAAATTCTACACCACAAGCAAAACTGATAATTATTTCATGATTAAATTTGTTGATACTGACACGAAAATGTATGAGGTGCATTTGTGAGTGTACATTATCTTTTCGGATACAAAAATAAGACTGCATACCAGGTAAATGAAACCAATGATAGACATATAAATGGTAATAACTTGACAAGAACAGTGTCACACAGTGGATGATGGAGAAATGAACAACAAAACCATAGTAACTACGAGACAATGTTGGACTGTGTTTATATAATCTTTTAGCTTACTGCTTTATAATTCAGTTAATTACGTATCAAACCCCTGGTATTTCTCAACATACATACAAGTCATACATACTATTGCAAACATACATCCAAGTCATACATATTATTGTAAACATACATACGAGTCATACATACTATTGTAAACATAGATACGAGTCATACATACTATTGTAAACATACATACAAGTCATACATATTATTGTAAACATACATACGAGTCATACATACATTACACAACAGTATTACAAACATACTTTAAAATACACAGCATATATAAATTTACTATTGCAAACATACATATGAGTTGTATGTGAGTTCATACAAGTTCTATATTTATAGGTGCATACAATAATACCATACCTACATAAACCGACTGCATTGTCTGCTAGATAGCCAAACTACTCTGTAGTTAAGCGGACGTACCCAATCACATAACAAACAATTAACACACTAATGAAACACACAAGTAGTACACATATATATACTATTGTAAACATACATTCGAGTCATACATACATTATTAGATTATTTAAACATATAAATCATACATTCAACAAATCAAATAGCCCATCTATAACCCAACCTAAAAATGTATGTCCTTATTCAAACTATTCCTGTATGTGAAGTGTTAAAATAAAATCTTCACAAGAATAAAAATGGTTACAATATGTATTCAAAACTAGCAAAACAAAAAATAGCCATGAATTTTACCAAATTACAAAAGTGTGTATCCATGATGTAGATTTTGACTGCTGGATAACAAGAGATGATGACAGAAAAATAAAGTCAGTGCATTCCAGTTTTAGAACCATCTATTCAGATAAGACATAAACAATAATTTTCAATTTAATATGCATACATGAACATGTATATGAATATGTCATAATAGTGTACAAATAGAAATTTCATTTCAATTTTCCAATTTTGGCACCATCCAGGACATGACAAAATAATTACCAACGGAATATGTATATATGAATATGTATAAATATGTAATGCATATGAATATGTATACATGAATAACACATTAACATATATATAAATAGGTATACATGCATATGTTGATCAGACAATGTATATTGTATTGCACTTTAAATTTGTGGGGTAAAAATTGTTTTGATTTTGTTCCTGGAACCAAATTAACAGAGGTTTAAACTTTTTTCGATTTTGTTACTGAAATAATTATACAGGGGTTTAAATTTCATGTGACACCACCAACAGTTGATAGTTTTACTATTTATCAGAAAGGCTACTTACTCTTTTGAGGGGTTTATGATTTCGCATTTTTAAGCTGCAAATATAGCAAAACAATAAACACCTACAAAAAAACAACAACACAATATTGATATACAGATTACATTAAAGAATGTCTCACAGCAACATGATTTTGAAAGCCTAAAGGAAGTGATACAAAAAAGTGCTGGAAATATCTCTACACCAGATATTTCTTTACATTTCTGTACACCAGATATTTCTGTACATTTCTGTACACCAGATATTTCTGTACATTTCTGTACACCAGATATTTCTGTAAACCAGATATTTCTGCAAGCTGAGGTCAAACAAGAAACATACAAAGCCCCATCATGCCAATAGTGATGTAGATATGACATTGTACATTACCCTACACTCACCAGTAAACATGCACCCTAGCAGACATCTGAGTTTAACATGGCTGTTGCCTGTCAATCTCGTATACCTGGGAATTCACTTGTATTCCATACTGATCATCACAGCTGAATCTGTGGGTCAGAAAGACTGCAGTTTGCTTGTTGAAAAGTTTTTTAAAACATTTTCATAAGAGAAAGTTTGAATTTGGGTTTAAAATAAACAACAATCATAATACCAGTAACCCAATTTTTATGTCACAGACACTGAAACATTTTATACTGGTTTAATAATGATTGAAGTTTGGGCATTATGTTTACTGCCGACATGTTCTTAGCAAGTTGTTAAGATTAAACTGTTATTCTTACTTATATTATATAATCTGTTTTATCAATTTTGTTTTGTATATTTAATATACTGATCACCAGCCCAGTATCGGAGTCACACCTACCAGAGTAAGGGATTGGACAGAGGTGTAACACACACAGACAATAAGAGGTAAGAGATCAACAAGAATGGTATATCGTTATAAAAGATACATGTCCACAACATAACTATTACATCTGTACATCACACTCCCACTGACATCTAGCAGCCTTTTAAGCCTTATACAGCGAACCTCGTGAAACAAAATAAAGAATTAGAAGGAATAATGTTTCAGAATATTGAAACCACAGTCTTTAGTGACTAATTAGTTTCTTACATATATCACCACCTGGAAAGTTCCCAGAGAACTAGAGTTCAGATCAACGAGCTGTCACTGTATTGTCACTAAAGAGTAAAAGTAAATCTTATCAAAGAAAGGTAAAATTGAGAAACCCACTAAATGGCCTATTTTAAATATTTATTACATGTTCTAGCCACAGACTTAGAAAAAGATAAACACACATTTTTTCACTCCACTTTCATTCAACAGAAATAAAACTTGAAACAGGAAAATGTTCGTAAAATATTCCACACAAAATATTGCATTTCTATTCAAATGTCCATTAAAATTGTGTAATAAATTAAAAGAAAAATTCAAATAAAATTCCTAACAGTGGTAAATGAACCTGCTAAGACGGCATGGTTACATTTCCCAACTGTAACAGCCCGCGGGAAAGGAGTTTGTCACGTAACATGTGGAAAACATGTACTTGTTCTTCTGAGGTGAGGAGGAGTACGTTCTGTATGATCTTCTGTGGATTTGGTGCTCTGTAAAACAATAGAATTAGAAACAAATAGGTCAGAGATTCTGTCTTACAACTATTATGAAATACATAGATGCTTTAATAAATGATTACCCGCTATGTGTACTTAGTTTATTATAATCAGTCAAGAATTGTAGTAGCAGAAGTAGGCCACACAGACAGACAGGTGGACACCAAGATTCCAGTTTATCCCCACAGAAAGTGTCAAGACGATGTGTGTTAAGATTTTAAGACTCACTGCTTCTACATTTCTTTAACATTTTAAATAAAACCTTGTACACATGAGCATTACCATATTAAAGAAGTTGTGCACCTCAACTTGGATTCATTTATTTTGACAATTTTCCCCCTCAGGCTCTGTACCTTCTCATTTTTACTCAAATGTATTATATTAACAATTGACAGGGCTATGACCCTCTTTATGGCCAAACTATGCACACAACATCATTATACTGGACATGTACCTGTTTTTTAGGTCACCTGAGCTTTGATCAAGTGACCTATTCTGATCGCTTTCTGTCTGTCATCGTGCGTAAACTTTTTTTCTAATTCACATGTGCACTTACTCTATTTCAAACATTTTTATGGGGTAGCAGGGGTTATTATCTTAGCCCGTGAAAAACAGTTCTTGTCGAATTTTCAATAAAGAGAGAGAGATGGTTTTGACTTACCTGATAAAACTTGTGTAGTAGACATGTACAAATGTGGCCATTAGGAACTGACAATCAAATCTATCCATGATGCCTCCATGTCCGGGAATAGTGTCACCAAAATCCTGTAACATACAATCACAGACTTACAACAACTGACCACTTAACATCACTGTCAAAATAAGAAATAATAAAAAGGAGAAAGGTGGACAGGAAAAAATATCGGGTATTAAAAATTGAAATACAGCAGTTTTGGGGGAAGTCTAAGCTGGATGAGATTATCTTCCTTAATCAGTTATCACCTGACCTGCAAGCAGCAAGCTAGTGGCATTCTCAGATGCAAGTTGTGAAAATAAATATATTCAGTTCAGATGTTGCTGGCAGAACAACACTGTGTGTCATTTTTCATACCATCTAACTGATACAATGGGAAAAACAACATAAGAACAGTGTTCTTGACACACGAGCAATGCCATTACACTTCTATCAAAATTTACACTCCAGAACACTCTTTTATTTACCAAAGACAAAAAGTAATAAAAACTTACTTTGATTTTGAAAGCTCTCTTAAATCCACTGGCAAAGAATCCACCAAATGGTCCAATGACGGAGGCAAACAGAGACAACGATATAGAGTGGAGGAGGAAAGGGTAGATCTTTATCGTTGTTTGTGGAAAACCAAACTGTTGGGAAAACAACATGTAAACAATGACAACAATACGTTTTAACAAAGTGGTTAGATAAATCATTCATACTGTCTTATAATAATCAAATTAAAGTTGATTTAAACACAGTGCTGAAATTAAATAACTCATTCTTATAATATGCAACAATGAACTGAAGTGTTATTCAGGACATCTAACAGTTTACTATGCTTTACTTCCTTTCTTCTACCAATATGTCCTTAGTTCAAGCAAATATCTTTTCATTCTGATACATGAATTCCGTCTGTCCATAACAAACTTCAACATTGGCCTATATAATTTTTGAAGCAAAAATGTGGCAAAATCTATGCAAATTCCAGTACCCTGCCCCCAACATCCCGCTTTTACAAGTGAAAAGTTCTACTGAGTACTTACAAAGGACAGGAACGTCTGTAAGGTGGCAGGAATACCAAACTCGGACACGATGAACACTGGGTGGCGTTCACATTCCATTGACATACTATCTTTGACCTCGTCGTATGAAATGGGACACACCATGGAGTCAAATTGCACCAGGACATAGGACAACTGCAATCAAAGTACAAATATCAGGTATGGAGCAAAAAATATAACTTCATAGTAGAATTAGATATCTGCATAACATTTCCTTCATTGCAAAATTCTCATTAGTTCATTTATAAATATTAACTTTATTTATGAAACAAGTTATTACAACTTATATCAATCACTCTTGTTGGCCCGTATGTTAGAGTCTTAATGTCAGAGGAAAACAGAATACCCAGAAAAAAACCCACATGGTCAGGCAGATGACCCCATACTTTTTCACGTCCAATCGAACTTACATAATTAATCAACAACTAACAGTCATTAAGCAGAAAAAATCTTGATAGGCTTAAATAATGATTTTAATTTTATTTTATAAATTTTTATGATAATTTAAAACCATAGATTTGTACATATCAATTTAAAAAACAATAACACTAAATCTAATTAACACTTAAAATATGTTTATAAATATACTAATGCTTAGATCAATATAAGATTTTCTCAAATTCATATTTTCTCAAATTCATATATCATGATGTGGAAACATTGGCTCCAATTACTAGTACACATATTGAATGTTTTCAAGTTGTACATGGTTGATAACTTCACACCACTTGAATATATAATATAGTATAACCGTGTACTTACTGCGATGCCGAAGAATACTGTAGACACAGCGCCGCCTATGAAGCCCTCCCATGTCTTCTTTGGAGAGAGTTTGATCAGTGGAGTTTTACCAAAGAAAAATCCAAACATGTAAGCCATGATGTCGTTACAGATGATCATAGATACGGGGACAAGAAGCCTGTGAACAAACAGAACATTATCATGTAGATATACTCTGGATATACTCTGTAGATATACTCTTGTAGATATACTGTGTAGATATACTCTGTAGCTATACTCTGTAGATATACTGTGTAGATATACTCTGTAGATATACTGTAGATATATTCTGTAGATATACTGTAGATATACTCTGTATATACTCTGCAGATATACTCTGTAGATATACTATGTAGCTATACTCTGTAGATATACTGTAGATATACTGTAGATATACTGTGTAGATATACTCTGTAGATATGCTCTGTAGATATACTCTGTAGCTATACTCTGTAGATATACTGTGTAGATATACTGTGTAGATATACTCTGTAGATAAACTGTAGATATACTGTGTAGATATACTGTAGATATACTGTGCAGATATACTGTAGATATACTCTGTAGATATACTGTGTAGATATACTCTGTAGCTATACTGTGTAGATATACTCTGTAGATATACTGTAGATATACTGTGTAGATATACTGTGTAGATATACTGTAGATATACTCTGTAGATATACTGTGTAGATATACTGTAGATATACTCTGGATATACTGTAGATATACTCTGTAGATATACTGTGTAGATATACTGTAGATATACTCTGTAGATATACTCTGGATATACTCTGTAGATATACTCTGTTAATATACTCTGTAGGTATACTCTGTAGATATACTCTGTAAGTTTACTCTGGATATACTCTGTAGATATACTCTGTTAATATACTCTGTAGGTATACTCTGTAGATATACTCTGTAAATATACTCTGTAGATATACTCTGTAGATATCGTCTGTAGATATACTCTGTAGGTATACTCTGTAGATATACTCTGGATATACTCTGTAGGTATACTCTGTAGATATACTCTGGATATACTCTGTAGATATACTCTTGTAGATATACTGTGTAGATATACTCTGTAGATAAACTGTAGATATACTGTGTAGATATACTGTAGATATACTCTGGATATACTGTAGATAAACTCTGTAGATATACTCTGTAGATATACTGTGTAGATATACTGTAGATATACTCTGGATATACTCTGGATATATACTCTGGATATACTCTGTAGATATCCTCTGGAATATACTCTGTAGATATACTCTGGATATACTGTAGATATACTCTGTAGATATACTGTGTAGATATACTCTGTAGATAAACTGTAGATATACTGTGTAGATATACTGTAGATATACTCTGGATATACTGTAGATAAACTCTGTAGATATACTCTGTAGATATACTGTAGATATACTCTATAGCTATACTCTGGATATACTCTGTAGATATACTCTTGTAGATATACTGTGTAGATATACTCTGTAGATATGCTCTGTAGATATACTCTGGATATATACTCTGGATATATACTCTGGATATACTCTGCAGATATCCTCTGGAATATACTCTGTAGATATACTCTGGATATACTGTAGATATACTCTGTAGATATACTGTGTAGATATACTCTGTAGATATGCTCTGTAGATATACTCTGTAGCTATACTCTGTAGATATACTGTGTAGATATACTGTAGATATACTCTGTAGATATACTCTGTAGATATACTCTGGATATATACTCTGGATATAGTAGATATATATACTCTGTAGGTATACTCTGTAGATATACTCTGTAGATATACTCTGTCGATATACTATGTAGATATACTCTGTAGCTATACTCTGTAGATATACTCTTGATATACTCTGTAGATATACTCTGTAGGTATACTCTGTAGATATACTCTGTAAGTTTACTCTGGATATACTCTGTAGATATACTCTGTTAATATACTCTGTAGGTATACTCTGTAGATATACTCTGGATATATACTCTGGATATATACTCTGGATATATACTCTGGATATATACTCTGGATATATACTCTGGATATATACTCTGGATTTACTCTGTAGGTATACTCTGTAGATATATACTGTAGATATACTCTGTAGATATACTGTAGATATACTCTATAGCTAGACTCTGGATATACTCTGTAGATATACTCTGTAGATATACTCTGTAGTTATACTCTGGATATACTCTGTAGATATACTCTGAAGATATACATCTTGCAAAACACAAAAGATTCTTATAGATATATTCTGTATAATGGCACTAAAGAACTTAACAATTGTATAATGGCACTAAAGAACTAAACAATTGTATAATGGCACAAAAGAACTAAACAATAAAAGGGACTATCAGGAACTTAAGGGGACCTCACAATGTTTTTAAATGGTTTGTAGAGAGTGTTCAAATATGTAGCAACTGTGTGTCAATGTACCTGGTATTCTAGCACTAGACAATTAAATACAGATCAGTTCCAAAACATTTGTAACAACTGGAATTTAGGGATTACAGTATAGGTTTTCCAGTCCATCAGTACTGGATATCACAAGAAGCCATGGCCATCACAAATACTTTTTTGGAAATATTTGTTTTGCAGCTGTGTTTCAGACATGCCTCAAATTCTTGAGTCATCTGAACTTCGTGTAGACTGATCTCACGAATTGGTGAGAATTCAGTGACTTTCAGTAACTTTTCTTGCTTTATTTCAGAATGTCATCAATGAACTTCTTGTATTTAAAATGCAATTTTGTTACATTACTAAATTTCAAAGTCTTGTATCTACACTTAAAACAGTAGCTAAATATTGTTTTTATGTAAAGAAAATCAGACACATACCAGACAAGTCCTTCAAAGATGTTCTGCATGATGAGGTGAGACTGTGTCACAACTATCAGGAGAGTCACATGTGTCCATCCAAACTAGAAAAAAAAGAGTCGCACAAAATTTAAATCCACTGAAATTTACTCGAAGAATATAACTTGGAACATTTGACCATGCCAAATTAAAGTGCTTTACGTTCATGCACAGTAAAATTAATTAACTATCTAAGCTGTTTATACATTAGTATTAAATTAATTATTTCAGTTAGTGAAATCAGAAATTCAGACAAGTTTTTTTAAAATTCTAAACTACTTGAAATATTTTGAATTAATTACTCACCAGTGTAAATTGTTTCAGGTAGTGTTTCTTGACTAGACTGCAGACAAAAGCCACAAAGCCTGCTATGTAGAGGGAGAAGGATATAAACCGGTGGAAGGTCACAAATGGGCGCATGAACTCCTGTAACAGTTTTTTAATGTAACACAAATCAAAACACATCATTGGTAATGACAAACTAGTAAATAATATACAAGCAAGTTTTCTTGTGATTGGTTCCTTGGCACTTGTACACTCCAGCATACTGTATATATACACAAGTGTCTATATAAAATTAATGTTCACAACTTTATTATCATACTTTTCAATTACTGTGATTAGACTTTTTGCAATTCCAATCATTCAACACTGAGAAAAGAATATGAATATACTGATGTGTGTCTAATTACACCCTTCCTAACTAAAGTCTATCATTCTGCATCAACCTACATCAATCATTCTTGCTCTCCTACTAAACCTTCATTTTTCTAATCATGACAAGTCAAGCAAGTTTTACTGTATATTCATGTATACTAATTATAACAGATAGTTACATACCGCTCGATGAAGTAGCACCCCAAAGTAGTCAATGAGACTTTCTCCATAGAAGAAGTAGTTTGAGACAAGCAGGAAGTACCAGCTGAGGGAACGGAACCAGGGCAGGTCGAACGACTTATAAACCACATATCCAATAGTAATGATCTCATGAAAGCACTTTATCTGGATGGCAAAAATCTGAAACAGAAAAAATCAATCCTTTCAAAAATCTGTTATGATATGACTTTAAAAGTGATTTCAAATATACATACATGTACAACCATCATTAAATCAACAAGTACATTTGTATCTGTTTCCTGTAATATGCAAATTAGGATTTGGCATAGAGGTCATTTTTTTCAGTTGATGAATTAAACTTTACAGTATACGTAATGTTCAAATAATTATAGTGTTAGTATTGTTCTGAATAGCATATATCCAAAAAATCGGTTTGTAATGCTTTGAGCTAGGGGTTTCTAAAATGTTTTTATTATAATTTATAATCTGCTTGTTAGATACAAGTAAATTGACGGAGTGAAGCTCCGAAATTTTTGGATATCAATAAATCATTTGGAGATCAATAAATCATTTGGAGATCAATAAATCATTTGGAGATCAATAATTCATTTGGAGATCAATAATTCATTTCATTTGGAGATCAATAATTCATTAAGTTAAGAGGTCAAACATGTTCATATTCCAAGATTATATATCACTGTCATGGTCAGAGGTTATTACAAAAAGTGAAATACATGTACGTTACAAATTTATTACTGACCATCAATGTCAAAGTCATAGGCACTGATATACAATTGCAAAGTCAGGTACATTAATGTCAACTTGTTTTCCCGTTGAACCAGAATCAATCATTGCTACATCACTACACAATTCAATCATATAATTATATAAGTTATCATAAAATGTCAAAGGATTCATCAAAATACTATTTCATCAAAATACTTTTCAAAGACGTCTTCTAATAACTTAATTGTAATGTAATGCCATAGTACATGACAAAGATTTTTTTCATTATGAATCATTTTACTATACATATATTTTACAGACAATAATTCCACAGAAGTAAATATGTTGCCTTCCTCAGCTTAGGTGGGATGATGGTGGATTGCTATAAATCCATGATGAAGGATTAAATGTTATATATTTCCTCTTGTGCTATTGTAAGTTTATTAGTTTCATTGAGATCTGATGACTCTTTCAGAAAATGTCATTCAGAACATTAGCCCATCAGATCACAACAGCTTCATTAAAACAATAAACTCAGGCTTGTCAGAGTCTTCTACTATACCAAACAAGTTTTGTGAAATCTGAAAATGCATAAGATACAGTTCATAAGCCATCACCCTATCAGATTGAAGTTGTCTCATTAAATATTTGTAACTTTAGCGGAGCATCAAACCTGAGTGATGGACATTATTGGTGAAAGCATATACATGGGTAATAAGTTTCATTAAAATCCAATACCTTCCAATTCATTCGAAAGATATATCATCCAGAAAACCATTATATCAATGCACAAATATGGCCAAGCATCAAACAGAATTTGAGCAAGGCAATTTCATCAAAACCATATCATTTTTCAAAAGGTTTTCATTAAATATACAGAAACAGAGATACATTATTTTGGTATGAAAATCTTTAATTTAGTTTGTTATTGTATTGTTACCTGAACTGCATATTATAGTTATCAGTAAATATTATCCTGTACATAGTACAGAGTGTGAACTTGAAGTGCACGATAAATAATACTGATAACCCAGTGTATACAATATACCCCACAGGTATTAGATATCAGTACAGGGTAAGTGTGTCTCTGTTGAATGGTAATGACCTACAGGTAACAGTGACCCAAGGGTAGACATAGTACGTGTGGGCGATGATCAGGTCACACCGACTACTGTGACAACACGTTATATAAGGTTATCTCTACCCAATATATCTCCTACTCTAATACACAACACAAACATGGTTACCTAGCCACAACAATCCAGGGGTTTGCTATGTAATGTACACACAGATGGTAGTCATACTGTTACACAATATTTTTCATCATTGTGATAACAAAATATTTTGGAAGATAAATAATACTGTTTAAAAATTTGAAGCAATTTGAGATTTCAGGATTTCCTTCGAATTATTTCAATTTAACAAACTCTCAGCAGACTACTTTAAATGTAGGACCTTTCCACCATGTGTATAAAAACACATAATACTTAACCATACTCATACATGTAATGACATAAATGAGTTATAATATACTGTATTGACACATGCATAGCCTCATGGAAAATGATCAGTATGTTTATTCAGCATCATGTACTACATTCCATTCAAGAGAATTTGACAACCGAAATCTCATTTCCCTATAATTTAGGTTGAATTTGAAATTTGTATCTTCTTTTCCTCTGGACATTATCTTCATTAAAGTTGAACACATATTTCTCAAGTCGTTGATAGAGGCTATAACTTTTTAGACACTATTTTCCCGAAAAACTAGCTGTGAGTATAAGAACCAGTAAAACTTGAAAAACTCGGGGAACGTTCATGGGTAATCTCCAGAATGACAAGTGGCGTAGACTCAGTGGCTAATCGGGATCTATTGAACTCTTTAAATATTATAAACTAGCAAGCATAAACATATGGCAGTCTGGCAAAGGGATAGACTGATGGCAGTCTGGCAAAGGGATAAACATATGGCAGTCTGGCAAAGGGATAAACATATGGCAGCCTGGCAAAGGGATAGACATGTGGCAGTCTGGCAAAGGGATAGACATATGGCAGTCTGGCAAAGGGATAAACATATGGCAGCCTGGCAAAGGGATAGACATATGGCAGCCTGGCAAAGGGATAGACATATGGCAGTCTTGTAAAGGAATAGAAAAATGAGAGTCTGACAAAGGGATAGAAAAATGATTGTCTGTTAAACGAATACACATTTCAGTCTAGAAAGGAGACAGACAAATGTAAAGTCTGGTAAAAAGGCAGACATTTGACGGTCAGGCAAAAGTATGAAACAATGTTAAAAAGCAAATTGAGCACTCTCTCTTTAATTGCAGAGAGTCAATAAAACAGATACATGTGAAGATAAATCTCACCTGAGCATGTAAGAGAAACATGCAGTATGCCACACTGATGTCTACAGAACATGTGACACATAGTGTAGGGGGAAGTACAAACTTGTCATCCATCCTTAATAGTAATTGTTTATATCTATATTGCCCAATAGTATATAAATATAGCACTCTATCCTATATACTGTAATAGTATATCCACAACACAGGATCAAAGTATATGATCCATACTATCTATGGTCAGGTAAATCCCACACTGCTTCAGTATGTGAACTATCACTATGCTACGGTACAGTCTGCCGAGACTAGAGGTATAACTGTCCAGGAAGCAGTATCCTGACACACCTGAGGGTACATACTGATCAGTCACATGCTCAATCATATACCCTACCTACTACATCCCCACCCATCTATCAAACATAGGAATACCCACAAGATGGCCTACAACACATAAATCTATGTAGTACCCTCGGGAAAAATTTACCAGGAACTATAGATTCTGTGTAAGATACACTCACAGTATTATAATATATTACAAGTACTGTTGCTTCTCTTTTCAACAAGGCATATGTAATAAGGAAGTCAATAGCCTCTGCATGGTTTTCAACATCAAGCAATACTAACATTATGAGGTAGTGTTCCAAACAGGCAGAGGTTATTGAGTTTAATTAGCTTAAACAAGGTTCAGGACTGAGTAACAGCATCAATATATAGGTCTCATCTTCAGATTAATCAGATGATGTTATACCTTTGGTTTCTGTTTTATTGTGTAACCAATATAATAGCTACTAGGCTAGGAAGTTCAAAGGACATTTTTGGGAAAAAGAAATTGCTATCACAAACAAAATAAGGAATATAGTGTTTATTTGATACATATATGTATTTGAAATGTGAATTCAGTTACAAATTCAGATTTGATCGAAATTTTGTCTTCACAACCCTCATATGAATTAGTAGAAATAAAATAGTGTACAATGAAATCAAGACAACTTACCACAACAACCAAAGCCAGTGGGCCAAGGTAGATCATAAACCCGAAGCCTAATATCATCACCCAGGAGAAGATTCCACGCACCACCCAGTTCCTCCATCTTAACAACAAAGAATTATGTAGTTTAATTACACAAATTAGGTATGTTTAAATATCATACCGACCTAATGACGGTGTCGCTGGGGATTCTAAACATACACATTTTTAATGTCCATCTCCATGACAAAATCACAGATTTTTTCCAATTCCTGATTTTAACATTTCGGAAGTTCTCTCAACACTTCCTCCACAAACAAAAATCGAGCTGTTATCATGATCAGCCATTAAACAAAAACAAAGTTGACTTGGAACATTATATATTGATACAGTGATCTATTATTTTTTTCAGAATGACATCTCTTTTCATTTATGGCAAATTAACTGCAGAGTTAACTTTGGAGTGCATGCATGGGATAAAGAAAAACATTCGTTTCTCTGCCACAGACAGAAATAGTCAAAATATAAGTTGGGTTCAATGAAGAAAAATATTTCTAAATAAAAGCACCCTAATTAGGTAAGATACTGCATGTGAAATATAAAACAATCACTTCTTGAGTTTAATCACCAACAAGCTCAACCTTCAAAATTCATGAAACATTTATTACCATTCACCAATCATTTGAAATGTTAAACTTTTACATGTTCAATGATCTGAAGTGGCCCAAAAACCTATAACAAGTACAAAATATGTTCACGAGATAGTTCAAGGGTTAATTGAACTTTTGAAACTACCATCATTTTTTCCCCCCATAGGAAGGCAAAAAACAAATTCCAAAATAAAAAATCTACTTGTAAAGATTTTAATGTTTACAAAAACAGTAGTATCAGGGTATCTAAATCTGTACCTAGTGAACTTTAGTGCAGTGTGTATAGTCGCAATCTTATATCCACGTGACAAGCACCCAGTCAAGCCAACTTTGGCTTACATGTCATTTGTTATCTGTTAAGGTTTCAATTTTTCCTGTACTAACTTGTGTACGTTAGGTTATAGTGCTCCCGAAGGTTATTTAAGAATGCTTGTGTGTGAATGCTTGTGTGTGGGTTGGGGATAATAATGGTTCAAATTAGAATCTATAATGTACAAAAGTTGTCTGGGTCTAATTTTATAATCCGTAAAGAAATTAAAATCTGCCATCTAAATACTGTATGTAAATGTTTCAATGATAATCTTATTTCAGCAATTTTCACGCATTAACGATTAAGTATTGCACTTAATAATATATTATGCTAATTCAAGCTTTATATAATGCAGATGCCATAACTCAACAACACATTAATGTTAAAAAATGGCAATGTGCTGAAATTGAAGTATTTTAAATAACTATATTTATAGTTTAATTTGAATAACTAATACATGTACACAGGTAGTTTGACTTATCAGATGGTATTTTACAATAATGCTAACCATAACAAATAGCAATCTTTAAATGTATCATTATTAATTACTTTACACAATCAATATGTATGTCAGTATACTTATAAAGATAATGTCCAGCTGATTTTAGTGATTTTCAAGCTTCATTATAATGCTTTCATTGTTGCTTCTACATAATTTATTTTAAAATTGCCTAATAATTTAATCAAACACAATTTATTCCTGTGAATAAAGCCTTAAAAGGGCAAGTATTTCCTCCAAAAATGGGAAAAAATATTAACCAGGGTGATGTGTACCTTCACAGACAACCCTGGGTTAGTTATGCTGCAGTACTGAGTGATACATGTACAGCCACGCTACTTCCAGTGGAACACTTGTTCCTTCCTATGTGAGGAAATGAATCATGACCATGTTTGTTTGTTTGAGTGGTTTTACGTCCGCTTCACTACCGGGAGTTTGGTTATCCAACAGACAAACATTTTTTTTAGTTTTTATAGGTATTGTCAATAATTGTCATAAGAAAATCACTACAAATTTGCTGCTATCGTATATCAATGAAACCTCCAAAGAGTTAATCGCTCTTTATTTTTACCAAATCATTGTGATTCACACGTACATTTCCACATATCGTTGACCGCTGCCCCAGGGTACAGTTCACCCTCATTAAAAGTTTCATTCATGGTGGTGAAGACCATGCATAAATATATGTTTGCATAAAGTGCTTTAGAGTGGCTTATGTTAGCTAGATAGGGCGCTATATCAAATGTTGTATATTTATTTATTTTTTATTGCATGTGTACATCATTATTATGCTGGTGCCCAACAGTCTATAAGGAGGTGTGACGGATGATATTGTTACTGTGACAGGTCAAATATTTTAACTCCAGGGAATTGTCACCATAATGTATCATATTAATATAGATTTAAATTGAGGTAGTTCACTTGATTAGCAATCAACAGCTTTACAGATACTTTCAATTTTTATGAAAGAAAAATTTATGTTTATTTTTTTCTAACTATTCTAAAAGTGTCAACAACCTTTAATGTTTAAAACATGGAGCAATCTTAGTGGCAAATAATTTTTATTTACAAAAATCACTCAATTTTAAACTCCCGATTTTTTTAAAATCACATTGTTTATTAATACCAATTATTTTTCCCAATTCATCAATAAAACTACTGTATGTAGGAGCTCACATAAATATTTCCTACTTAGTTATTGACATTGAGAACCTGAAACTGATACACAGTACATCATTTGGTGACTCATAATTCATACAATGATTTTTCATCAAATAATGTTAAGAGGTTTATAATTCATGGCCCTCATAAATGTTGCTGTAATTTGACTACTGACTCCAGCAATGACAAAGAAGTTTGTGGTATGCATGTGTATGTATAGGGATTAATCTAGAATTATTTCACTTCTAAAACTGGGTGGGTAAACTAGCCATTGCATCCCCCAATGATTGTGTTATCCCTTTTGAATAAAGGACCCATTCCCCATCATCCCAGTATGCTAATGGCCAAATATCATCATTCTGGCCTTTTGGTTATTCAGAAGTAGTTGATTGAAAGATTTTTTTTAAGATAATTGACCCCTGTGACTTTGTTTATAAGTCATTCATTTGAACAAACTTGGTAGCCCTTCATTCCAGCATGCTATTGACCAAATATCATCATCCTGGACCTTCTAGATCTGGTTATTCAGAAGCAGTTGTTAATTGTTTTTGTACACATTTGACCCCATGAGACCTTGAAGATGGGCAAAGTTCTCATCATTTGAACAAACTTGATAGTCCTTTATCCTCGGCCAGCATACTACTGGCCAAATATCATCACCCTAGGCCTCTTGGTTATTCAGAAGAAGTAATTTAAAGTAAAAAAGTTGACTTCGAACGGACAACACACCTCGGCATAATTATAAACTCACAAGGCCCTACGGGCCAGCCTGCCAAGTGAGATTAAAATTATCTTTCAGAGCCAGAGGGCAAACATTTGGTCAGATCAAAATATCAGTATAACGTTTACAGTATGCCTTCTACAACCGTGACTCTACCAACACAATCGAATGTCACTGTCCTGGTGAGCTGGTAAAGTGAGACTTCACTGTATTTGGAGTAAATATGTACCTTGGAGAAAGGTCTTTGAGGGCTGAGTCGAGGGCACCTGTTGTCTTGTCGGAAGCCTGAGGGAGGGAAGAAGTATCTGCCACCTCCCCTACACCTAACATGTCTTCATCTTCATCCTCACTGATGGGGGGTTTAGGAACATTCTGTCTGGGCTGGTTCTAAACACACAAGTAATAAATTAATTAGCAATTAGTTCAATGTATTTAAATTTTCAATATACATGAATCAAAATACCAATCTAATTTATAAATCAAAGAATGCCTCCCAATACAGGCTAATATAGTAATACATCTAGACCATCTTAAATGAGTTTTCAATTCAGATGTTATTTATGAATGAGTCTAAGACTTTTCATGATGTCTGGCAAATTACAATCCAACCTGTGACAAGCTTCATATTCTCATAATTTTGTTTGTTTGTGTTATACGTCCTAATAACAGCTATGGTCATTTAAGGACGTGCCAGGTTTTGTAAACAGTACACATGCACGTTGTGGATAAAAGTTTATAGAGACTGTACATCTGTAGAGCAAACATGGCTGTAATGCTATACCAGAAGTATTGACCCACAGCCCAGCACAAGATTAGAGCTGGATCGACCCTACTCATGATCAGTAACATAAACTGTATAATTGGATCATGCAATGGAGAGCTTAGGAATGTAAGGCCTCACATCTAATTATTCCAACAGTTATCAGCTACAGTGTATCACAGGTGGTAAAATTTGCTATGAAGGTCATCTCTGTTAGACCTGGAGATGACAAAACTTCCCCTGGAGGGAAGGGGGGGTTGAGGACAAACCCTTTTAACGCTCATGGATTATATGTTGCAATTACCTGTGTCCAAAGGGTTATGAATCAATATATTAACAGATTTGAATTAATGGTAACTATGATATGATTTTAGTAAATTGCATTGATCAAATTCATTAATAATCAACAGAGATAGCACTAGCCATTTCAATAGTAGTGTTCCAAGTAAATCCTTAATTTATTATCACATAAAAAGATACAGTGAGAAATGGGCCAAAATATTTGGGTATTTCATCTTCTTTTCTTAACTTGATACAACAGGGTTATGCAATCATTGTTGTAATATTATTGCTGTTATGTGTATAAAACTAAGTTAGAAAGATATTTCACTCATGTGATCACAGGATTCTGGAGTGTGTTATGAAATATTTATCTGTAGACTGTAGTAACACATCAGCTATTGATTTTAATCATGACAACACATTTAGTCTGGTTATGAGCAAAATTGCATTGGGTCTAATTACCCGGTATACATAATTTATTAATGGTCTTGTTTCGCAACTGTATGTTTATAATCGAGTCTGAAATCCCAATAGTAAAGACTAAAAGGCCTAAAATGTTAGGAAATCATTGATGGTTGATTTTCACGTGAGGTAGCTAGCTTATAGGATTTAAATTGTGGTCCATCATGATCAGTTATGCATAGTTTGCTGTGTATGTCATCAATAAAAGTTTATTATACTGTATTGGTATTGCACTGCATGTATATATACACTGTCTGTACTTTAAACTGTTCTTAACTGCTGCCCCTTTAGATGTTAAACGAATCCACAAGTGTCAGATCTCTGGGATATCATAACAAGGCTCCAATGATGTTTTTACTCAAAAATCAATTTGCAACCATTAATTAATTGTGCATTGCAACTTTGAAGTAATACCAGAATTACTATACATATAACAGTACATTTCTATTCTATAAGTGATTTTGTTCATATATCAAACACATGTCTCTTCTTCTATCATGTATGCACATGTTATTGTATACATACATGATGGCCATGTCTCTTTCCTGCATTGCATGCACTTTGTACTAATGCATTGGCACATGAAATAGAATTCTTTTTTATGAAATTTGATTTTCTGAATAAATAATAGGATTATACTTACTGATGCTAAATATTTGAAATTCCATTTGAATATAACTTCTGCATTATAATAATTGTTTAAGCAAAATGTCACTATAGTTAAAGTAGAGTTTTACTGGTAATCATGCAACAACATGCTGTAATACATTATTTGTGTTAAATAACTTATCTTATTCATATCACTGTACCAACAATGCGTTTATGCCATATGGTGCAAAATATTTAAAAAGAAAAATACCTCAAAAGTATACAATTTGTTAATAAATTAATAAATTAACAAATACACCACTATTTTATAGATTTGTATTAAGTAGTAGTCATTAATAGCATTTGGTTATAATTTAAGCCAGTTACACTCCCAACTTCCTGCTTCTTTGTTGTTGTTGACTAGAACATTAAATGCCACCTACGGCATATGACACTTCATAACTACCCGACACATGAATGTTTTACAGCCTCTGGGTTTGTTTGATCTATGCTTTAAATTTCTGTATCAGTGTATGGAAACTGTTCACATGAAAACCAATTGAAGAACATGCCATGTAATGATGTATATATGCATTTGAATATATTTGAAATCAATTCATCATACTCGTGATGTAGGTAATAATACTTATTGCATAGGAAATATTCATATGAATGAACTAAGGAAAGTCCATGAACAATATGCATCTTTTATAGGCTTAAGCCTGTTGTCAAATCCTTTTGTTTTGAAAAAATAAAATAAAAAGGATTATCTTGAATTGAACCATATGCATCTTTTACTTGATATGTTCATGAAAATTACGATGCAATTATCACACCTGTTACTCGATACCAACAAGTTCTAATAAATATGATAATATATGCATGTTGCACGGCATTGGTCACAAGCCAAAACACAACAGGTCGTGACTTGGGTTAACATAATTCCGTCTATTTATAGGTATGCGCCACCCGTATACATGTTCAACAGCGTTATGTACGCCGACTGTGATGACATTGCTTCATAGAGATTACAAACAACTTTCAAAACAAACACAAGAATTCAGAACTAAATTTAGAAACGTGCGCTTGACCCAATAACATCGACTCAAAACAGACATTGTAGAGATGTTTTGGTTCTGTACTGTAGACGTACAGTAGTGTAGTGCAACTCAAACAAATGGACAACCATGTTCCAGTGCAAATAGCTGATGCATTGATATTGGTGCTCACCTTGGCAGCCTCGTCCCCTTGTTCCCGATTCGTTCGCTGTCGAAGGTCAGCCATTGATGGCTTGTGTGATAGGTCTGATACTGCCTTGATGAAAATATTGGTCGATATGATTATGTCCTCTGCTAACACTCTCGCTCAGCACGAGAGCTAAACGAGATTTAATAAGGTAGGGCCTAACAGTGGAGTCGCATACATTCCGGATTTTTCTTCATCTTTCTGGTCTTGTGCTGTAGTGCATTGTTTTGAACAGACAATTATATGTCAATAGACAAACAGTTTTCATTGTTTCTTTATTCCGTTTTAATTACGAATGTGATCCTTATCCGTGATCAGTAATTGTGGCTTGTTTTCATAATGTGGTTGTTGTCACAGGGACCTGATAATTAATAACAGCTATATTTGGACCCAAACTAATATGTTCAAAGTAATTCTCATATACTTTCATAGGCCTCTCTGACTCAAGGAGAAAATCTATCTCCGTTTTTATTCAGTCTGTACTTGAACAATAACGTTCAGGGTTTGACAAACCTTAGTACTAAATTAGAAAATAATCTACATGTATACATAAAGCTTTTTATTTTACTATATGCTGATGATACAATACTTTTCTCGGACTGTCCAGTTGACTTGCAACTACAATTAAATGTATTCAGCGAATACTGTAAACAGTGGAAGTTAAAGGTTAATATAGGAAAAACCAAATGTATAGTGTTTAGTAAAGGACGTAAAAGCAATAGAAATGTATTTTTATTTAATAATGAGGTGATAGAGTTAGTGGACAATTTTACCTATTTGGGTACGGCATTAAGTCGAACTGGTTCATTCAATGAAACGAAAAAATATAATGTTAAAAAGGCTACTATAGCAATGTATGACGTTATAAAGAAAGGTAGACTACATAATTTATCAGTTCATTGTATATATGATTTATTTGACAAGATTGTAAAACCCATACTGTTGTATGGTTGTGAAGTTTGGGGTCTTTCTGACCTTAAGGTAATTGAACGTGTACATTTAAAGTTCTATAAATTATTACTAGGGTTAAAAAAATAGCACCCCTAGTTATATGGTATATGGAGAACTAGGTACTAGTCCACTTGAAATAACAGTAAAAACAAGAATAATATCATTGGTCACAATTGACTCATTCTAAAGGAAATAAAATTAATATCATATATTGTATAAATTTCTTTGCCATCAACATAATGTTGATGATAAACCGGTTCCATATATAAGCTTTATTAAACGTATTTTAAAGTATTTACAGAAATGGCAGAGTGATGAACACTCTTCATCAAAAGCTACATGTTATAGGATTTTTAAAAATAATTGTCATTTTGAAAATTACTTAGATATTTTAAGTGATACAGATAGAGTTACATTTTGTAAATTTAAGACTACTAATCACAAATTCATTGTTGAAACCGGCAGATGGGATAATATAGAGTATAATGAAAGAAAATGTCCACACTGTAACAGTCAGCAAATTGGTGACGAATTCCATTACTTGCTTGAGTGTCCGTCTGGGTTTCGAATTTTATATATAGACAAATATATTTGGACGAGACCAAATGTAATTAAGTTTTATGAATTGATGAATACTACTAATATAAAAACACTGAAGAAACTTTGTACTTTTATTAGAATAATTAATAACAATATTTGACCTCCTCGATATAAATGTGTATATATTATGAAACAGTACTGTGTACTACCGATTACGAACACTACAATTACTATATATTATATTGTAAATATGTTTCTCTATACATTGTATTGTGAAAGAGAGTAAAGTTGAATTGAATTGAATTGAATTGAATTGAATTGACTCATGTGACAAAAAAACACCTGACGGTTAGACAAAAGCAAAAAAAAACACCAATATAAATTACAGATTTACGTACTCTTTTCTTTACCGGGTACCTATATATAATGTACCAATATACAATTCCTAAAATATCATATATACATTATTGAATGTTGAATGTAATTCGACTTTTATTTTAATTACAAAACTGGGAGGAATAAGGTCAAGATATTCTCCCTTTAGTAAATATTTAACAATTGATTTTCCCCATTTTTGTGTAAATGTCCCGTCCAATCAGGTGAACGGCTAAGATCATCAAAGTTGTTTATTATTAACGGCAATGATACATCCGACTTTTTCATTTGCAATGTCGGGGTAAAACAAGGAGAAATCTTATCGCCATTTTTGTTTTCCCTCTTTCTTAACGATCTAGAGGATTTCCTCAATCAACGTAATGTTTCTTGTTTGAATGAAGTGTATGCTCTTAGTGATCAAAATTTAGGTTTGTGCTTAAAATTGTTTATTATATTATATGCTGATGAAACAGTGTTTTTGTCAGAAACACCAGATGGCCTACAGAACGCATTGAATGAATTCCAAAATTATTGTAATATATGGAAATTAAGGATGTACTCTTCTGAGGTTTCAATCACGTTCAAGTCTCGTGTTGATCTGGTGTAACGGGTTTTTGTAATATTTAACAAATTATGATAAAGTTTATTAGCAAACACGCATCTGAAAAATATGTCAAAAAACTCGATGTCTGTTGTTTGTAGAACTTTTTTTACAAGAATTTAAAAGAAACATAAATTCGGCGGCCATTTTGAAAATGTGTATTAATGTGCCCCTATTTCTTGGGCTTTAAAAAAGGCAAAGAAATCACCTTTTTTGACACTAGATTGATCACTTAAGTTGCCATTGTGTCACCATTTTTAATTGTAGCAGGTTCAATTTTGCTGTACAACTTCATAATGTTAAATATGATAAAAATAATATGCAACAACCTGGAAAATTATACATTATTGACATATTTAGTGTAACTGAAGAACTTTTGATTTTTGACCCCGAAAAAGGTAAAAAATAACACAAATGATAATGGGACAAAAAAGAAGCACCAAAAAATGGTAAAAAAATGAGTATTTTTTATTAAAAATTAGAGGGTAGGGGTAACTAAAATTGGCTTTCTAAGTTAAAGGAATAAGATTAAGAAATTTTACTTCCATAATTAAAAAAAAAATCATCAATTCTACAAACATTCATACATATCTGATAACACACTTGGAAGAAATTGTATGAATTTGTTCCGCAAATGGTCAAGACCCAAAAAATCACCTAAAATCACATGTTTTGTTAAATTGTTGTGTTTGACCGATCATACCACAAAAACGAACACAAGGACATATGGTTTTTTTTTTGCATTTTCTACTATGCCATGAACTCCTTTTTTTGACTTCTCAGAGATGTACATCCTTAATAGTTAATTAATACACAAAAAAATAAATAATAAATTTGATTTTTGAAAAAAGAAAAAGTAAAAGAGACCATCACTTTTCGTACAATAATGAGATTTTAGAAATACAAGATTCGTACCCATATCTTGAAATAATATTTAACTACAATGGTGTATTTACAAAAGCCAAAAGTAAACTAACAGAGCAAGCAAAAAAAGCTTTATATTCATGGTATATTAAGATTAGAAATATTTCCATTCCTGTCGATCTTCACCTGAAATTATTTGGTGCACTTGTATCACCTATTTTATTATATGGATGTAACAATACAAAAAGTATCGAAAAAATACATTTTGTAAGGAAATTTCTTAACATTCGGAAAAGCACCCCAAATGATATGTATATGGTGAGTTGGGAAGGTATCCCCTAGAAATTGAAATCAGTGTTAGAATGGTTAGATTCTGGCATAATCTTACAACGGGTGGATCGAAATTATCTAGTGTAATGTATAAGTTAATGTATAATTTGCACCGGAATTCTGTATTAAGTTTTAAATGGTTAACGTATATACGAGATATTTTAAACAATACTGGATTTAATCATTTATGGACTTTCCAAATAGCATGCACAATTTTAAAATAGACAATGCTTGAAAACTATTATTAAGCAGAGATTATGCGATCAATTCATTCCAAGTTGGTTTCATGATGTTGAACTTCCTCGTGAGGGCAAGTTTACCCCTTATTCAAATATCAGTTTAATATTGAACCATATCTTTTAAAGCTTAATAGTAATGAACGAAAAGTAATATGTAAATTTAGAACATCAAATATAAAATTTCCAACCCAACTTATATCAAAATGAATGTCCTCAATATGTAACACGGTACTTTTAACAAAAGTAAGTAAATTTATACAAAGAGTAATGAAGCTACTTAATATCTAAAATAAGTTAGCTAAAAGAATGATTGAAATGGGTTGTTATTGTATAAATTTTATCATGTGTCATATTATGTGTGTACTATGTCCATCAATGTATACTATGTAATATGTGACCTCTTGTTACGCACGTATACGTGTGGCGTGAGTGTAAAAATAACATTTATAACATCAAGGGTTGTCGAACTTACCCCGGGACCGAACTTGCACCGTTCTCTAATGGACAGAAACACGGGGACCTGATAATTTGTTACAGCTATATTTTGACCTAAACTAAGGTGTTAAGATCAATTTGACATGTTTTAGGGGTAACGATCGACCTTTGGTATATATAAATCTTTTTTTTCTTGGACTGGACCACCTAGAGCGTCTTCACTTCAGTCCCCAATCTCATACCCTTACTTAAAATAGTGGATGATGGACATGGACCGTCATTTTAAAATCCCTGTACACCCACTTTCCCTCACAGTTCAGATGAGTTTAAGTTCTTTCAAACTTCTAATCTTCACTTATTCTCGAAAATCTTGGGGTCATTTTTATAATAGAATTTTATAGTCAGCTACGTATACACATACAAAGAAACAGTTACCCCGCGGAGCAATTAAGAAAATGACTTCTTCTCTGTTGAATGTCTGTACGTTCTATGTTTAACGTGAATTTTGACCAAGTTAACGTGGTCCACGATAAACGCTCAAATCCATAATGTGAAGGCATATCGTATATGTGTACATATACCAGTGTGGTAAGTACTACCCCGAGTTTCCTCAGGCTAGGTAAGTATAAGTAATTATTCATGACTTTTCAATATTCAAGATTTTATTTAAGGTTTTTTCATGGATTAAAGGGGGAGGGGGTTGATGTAAAGTATACTCAGTCGACACACACAATCATTTGCAAACAAAGACACAAAGTCCAACAGAAAGAACCCCTTTTGCAGTCCGATCA